GCGAATGCTGGCTGGGGAATTCTGGGAGTTGAAGTCCAGACATCTTCAAGTTACCAAGGTTGAGAAACACTGCACTAGAACGAATGACTACAAATAAATAATTCATGTGGTATGGAATTTTGATACCTCATGCCTGGCCTTAGTAGGCGTGGTCACTGATTCTTCCTGCCAGCATATTACTAGACAAGGTGGCTCTGGAATAATAGCTGAGAGTTTCTTTTTCTTTTCTTTTTTAATGCTGCCTATTTCCCCCAAAGCACAGGAATCAGCAAAGTATGCTATACCAGTTTTAAGAGAGGTTTGCACAGGGCGTAGTGTGAACACTCCAGCTAATGTGAAGTTCCAGCCCTGTCCCTTCCAGATACATTACTGTCTGCATATCTCTATGTTGAATTTCTATCTTTCTCCTCATTGCATCATGTTGCTATTTCCCAACTGCAATTCTTTTCTCTATCTTTTCCTTCCTTCTTCTCGTCTTGTTTCTTTCCCTTTTCTTTCTCCCCCCTTGAATCCCATAGACATGTCCGACTTTGAGAACAATAATGATAATCGTAGAGTGGCAGATATGAGTCAACGGAATGACAATCTCTCCACAGTGACCAATGCCTTGGTAGGAATGAGCCCATCCTCCTCACTCTCCGCTTTGTCCAGTCGAGCTGCCTCAGTCAATAGTCTACATGAACGCATCATGTTTGCTCCGGGTAGTGAAGAAGCCATTGAAAGACTCAAGGTAAGAGCCATGATGAAGAAGACAGAGAGAATGAGGTAGAAAGAAGAGCGGAAACAAGTATTATTAGGTTCCAACATGACATTTATTCCAATTATAATAATTTGAATTATCTTATTTTTAAAATTAAAAAGTGCAGAAAAGAGTACACTTAAAGAAAGGAGAAAAAAAGGAACAACTTCCCTTCTTCTTTACAGTAATTACAAACAAACTCATTATCTTTTTACCCTCTCTAACATTATAATAATCCTATTAGCTCCTCGTTCAATCTTTTTTCAATCATCAAATCCAGAAATAAGCATTTCAGTTTTTTCCCCATTTTCAGCAAGAAGCTGATAAAGAATTATTTTATTCCAATATTCTATTTTTTGGAATTATAAAGGAAAAAAAATAAGCAAACAAATAATTATTTATAATGCACTCTCCCGATATAGTCGAACCACAATAAAAAATGTAGTTAACATAAAAATTAAGCAGCAGTTAAAATTACACAAAAGCATTAAAAATCAATATACATTTATTTATTTTTATTTAGTTAGTTTGTGAAACATGTACGAGATAACAGATATAAGTATAAACATGGACATGAACACAGGAAATGGGCACAAATAAATGGGGACAATAGGACAGGGACGGTAGGCTTGCTGGTGCGGCGCTCTTATGCATGCCCCCTACAGACCTCTTAGGAAAGGGGTGAGGTCCACACTAGACAGCTTAAA